GGATGGATATGAAGAAATGCAAAACTATTACAGAGGATGTAATTTTAGCTTACTTGGCGCAAAAATCTGAAACTGTCAAATCCTCTACCCTGTGGAGCATGTACTCTATGTTGAAAAGTACCATTTTAGTGAAGAAAAATGTAAACATAGCCACTTTCCCAAAGGTAATCGCATTTCTTAAAAGGAAGAATGTTGGTTATAAAGCAAAGAAATCAGAAGTCTTCAGCAGCGAGCAAATCAACAAATTCATTAGAGAAGCAGATAATGAAACATATCTAATGCTAAAGGTAATTTTAACAAAATATTACGATTGTAGGATATAAAAGTATCAACTTAATTTGCTTCATTTTCAGGTAGCAACAATTATTGGGTTAGCCGGTGCGTGTAGACGGGAAGAACTAACAAAAATGTCAATTGATCTAATAAACGACAAAGAAGATATGTTGCTCGTGAAAATACCAGATTCTAAAACACATATTGAGAGAAATTTTGTTGTAATTGGGCAAGAAAACCTGCTGTTGTATAGGCAATATTTATCTTTACGGCCATCCCATACTCCACATAACAGATTATTCGTGAATTACAAAAAAGGAAAATGTTCGATTCAGCCCGTTGGTATCCACAGTTTTGGGAATCTCGGATTAAGAATTGCAGAATTTTTAAATTTACCCAATCCTAAAAATTACACAGGCCATAGCATGCGTCGAACTTCAGCGACGATATTTGCTGATAATGGTGGAAACATCACAAATTTGAAGAGACACGGTGGCTGGAAGTCTACCAATGTCGCTGAAGGATATATAGACAATTCACTAACAAACAAAATTAAAATTGCCAAGACCATTCAAAAATTATCAGATGAAAACAATCAATATGAAACGGAAACTTTACCTTCTTGTTCTGACTACAAAAGGCATTTAAATATACCAAGCATTTCAAACAAATTAAACCCTTTCAATATTAGCAATTGCTCAAATTTTACTATAAATCTTAATATAAATAAGAATTAGAATGTTTCTGTTAGTACCTATCTTCTGTTCGAATTTCAATATTTAATACAAATAAGAATTAAAATGTTCGAAATTTTGTTCTACAAAAAAATATAATAAAGAAATGTGTCTCATTAATTTGTTATTCTACATGGTTGCCGAAAAAATAGTGTACGCAACACGTCCGAAAACAGTTTTTTTGAACTCGCAGACTTCCAGGACTCGCCTACGGCTCGTCCTAGAATTTTGTCAACTCGTCCAAAAAAACAGTATTTTCTGGACTTGTTACGTAAATAACTATTAAAACTAATGAGCGAGGAATGAAAAATATCTAGAGTACTACGGTATAAGTTAAAATGTCTGCATATTATGTTTATAGGAGAGTTTTGACCAGAATTAGTTCGATAAAAAGTCTCATAAAATAGTGCATTTACTCTAAAATCATGTTGTGGTACATGTAAACAGATCAAGACTAATAAATCTGGGGAATCGATAAAATCATTAAGAAGCTTATACAAAAATACTGCTTTGGCGATAATTCTTCGATTCTCCAATGAAGTAATATGATAATGATTTCGTACCATCGTGCTACAATGAAAAGAATACACACCACTCTCCTTGTAGTGTAAATATCGCATAAATCTGTTCTGTATGGCCTCAAGTCGAGACTTATATATGGTATATTGAGGACTCCATACAACAGATGCAAAATTAATTATGCTGTGGACGTGTGCAAAATATACAGACTTAATAGCAAACATCGACCTAAAATTTTTGCAAACTCTGACAATGAAACCAATCATTTTGTTACTTTTTAAAGTTATATAATCAATATGTGAAGAAAACTCATTTTCCTATCAAATACAACCCCAAGATTTTTTATTTCTTCAACTTGATTTAAAATATTCTTATTAAAGTTATAATTATTAGAGTATATATTTTGGTTACCGGTAAAACAAATATATAAACATCTACTTAAATTTAATTGAAGCTTGTTCAATTTACAGTATTCAAAGAAAGAGTTTAAATCTTCCTGGTAGGCAATTGAATTGAAAAGCAAAATGCATAAGAAAACAGTTTGTATGAATATTCGTACCTAATTAGAAAATGGTATTAGAAAATTATGGTAATTCACTTTTTGTTGTATTCATCGAGATAAAAAGAAATCAGTGCCCTCAAAAATCAAAAAAGTGATTGGCATTTTTTTTTCAAAACTATTTCAGTGCCAACCAATACGTACGCCAATGGTTAAGTTGTCTGCATCTTTCTAATCTTTAAATGTGTATTAATTTAAATATTTCTTGCAACCTAAATTTAATTCCTCTATATGAGTTTAAATGTACCAACATTTCTTCCATACATTAGACCTAAGTAAGTTCAATATTTAATTTCATAACTGTGTCACCTAATTGGAGTAGACATTTCAATTTAATTAAATCTAAAATCTATTTTAACAGTATTAACCTAATTTAAACAAATTCAAACAGGGTAACTTATAGTATTGTTGTTTCGCTCAATATCATCAGTTGTGAATTTTGCAAAATTCAAGATGGCGGATAGAAGATGGCCGACCAATTTTCAAAAAATAGATAATAATGATGATTAAATTTTTAAAAACGAATTTTGTACATCTTATCTCGGACTCGTAATCAGTGACCCCGAAAACCTCCGTATAGCAAATTTTGGCGCGAAAGTGTTATGTTTTGAAAATTTAGTCGGCCATCTTGGATCCATCATCTTGAATTTTGTAAAACTGATCTGTGATCAGCATCCCCGTATACCAAATTCAGCACAAATCTGTTATTTTTCGAAAATTCGTGAGATCTGACCTTAATTGACCCGTTTTTTTTTGAGGTTAGAAAAAGAACCATCAATTCTGACAGCGGATTCACGTTCGGCGGGGTCTTAACCATATAAATGAACATTTGAATGTGGAAAATTTTTTTTTTTATTTTTCCTGGCACTTTTTCGTGAATTTTTGCTATTTTTGACCTACTTTTTGAGGTTAGGAAATTCCTTTGATGTGATGGCTCAATTCTGACACCGGATTCGTGATCAGGAGGCAAAAATACAACAGATAACATATGTCGCATGAAACTTTTTTGTGTCTGGAATAAAAAATTCGGTAAGAGGCGGAGGGGAAATTTGTTTTACAAAAAAGGTTGAAAAAAATTTAACAAAAGTCCTCTCATTCCTTAAAATTTAATTGAAATTTCGATTTTTGTTAAAAACTGACAAAAATGGGCACAAAGAATTCGGAGGGGTGGAGGAGATCATTTTTTAACAAAAAATGTAGCAAAAAATTCTCTATAGTCTATTAAATAAGCCTTTAAATCGAAATTTTGGTCAACTTGCCTGAATTTTTGATATGAGTTAGTTTGAGGTATATTATAACAATAAGTGACAGTAATTTTCTGTTCAACCCCCGGCCAAGGGTGAAAAAAGATAAAACAAAGGAGTGTTTCAAGATAACTTGAAAGGGGCAAGGGCTAGATAAAAATGGCATCTTAACTTTTTCTTGTATTATTAAAATTAACAAAGTTAGGGAAGCTAAAAGTTAAGGAAAGATTTCAGAAATTTAAAAAAATCATAACGAGCAGAAAACCGAATGAATTTTGAAATTTTTTTTTTTCAATCCACTCTAAAAAATATAAAGAGACACGTATTATTTTTATCGGCGGAAAACATATTTACGGGGTGAAATACACCCTCAAAGTTCGCCCCCCAAAACAGTTTTTTCAAAATTTCTGGGGTTCTAATCAATATTTTGAAATGAAACAAAATGGAAATTACTTATGATAAAAAACAAATATTTCGCAAGTGATTCNAGGGAAAATATGCTCAACATTATTTTTTACAGTGAAAGTCCATTCTTCTGCTTTAATCCGAAATAAACTTTCCAATTACTTTTTCATTAAAGTTTGGTATTTCTTGCACCATTGATTTTTCAACACTGCAAGTGCAAACTTTTACAATTTTGGAAAAAACACAAGAATCAATATGTAAGAAAAAAATTATCAAAATTTTCAACTAGATTAATTAAGAAATATCGACATAACTGCATGCATAGAATACCATAAAATACAATGTTTATCACTTTTTTGAACTTCTTTATGTTTAATTCTAAAAAATAATTAGAGTTGTAATAAATTTAAAATTCGAAAAAATTCATATCGAGCAATGTGCGGCAGATAACACGAGGTACTAAACATTACGCAATTCAGTTGGTATCTGGAATTGGACCGTGTCTGAGTGTTTTTTGCGTACCACTATTTTATTTTCTTGGGGCGTTTTCCAGCGAATGCGCGAAAATTGGACTCGAAGGTGTCGTGCGTACATCGAATATGGTGATCGACATTTTGAGCATATGCTGTAGTTTGTTTTGTACTTGTGCGTTTAAAAATGACTGAATTTTGCTTTTTGGTAAGTACCTAAATTATATTTAATACGTATGATTATTTGGATGACGTGAACCTTTGGGTACTTTAATTACATATTTTTCAAATTCATAATTTGATTAAAAGTTAAGTTCCTGTTTTAAGGGATTCATAATTACTAAAAATCGAGCTAAAATTTAAGCACATTACCTTCGTAGTACAAAATCGATACAATTTACTAAATGTTTCACAATAATAGTTGTTTACATTTTTTCCGTAGGACAAGTCTGCCGCGTGCACACATGGTATGCACCACCTGTGTAGCGTTAGGTTAAGCGCTGTTGTCACGTTGTGATGAAACTCCTCAATATTAATACTCGCTGTATTTTAAAAACTCTTAATTTTACCCCCCTGTAATATACAACTTTTTTGTTCATTTATAATTATTCTATCTCATGCTGAAGTAATGGCAGTCAAACTTCTTACACCTTGTCTATCAATTTATATTTTCCATAACTATTTCCTAATTTTTTTTTGTCACAAAATCTGAAATATTTTTATTTATGAATTTAAAAAAGAAAATTTTACTTGTCTGAATACCAAATAAGGCTAACCCAGATATACTGCAGAATTTTAAGTTTAGGAAAGAATTACATCATTTCATTAAAATAAAANGCGTTTTCTTGTAGCCACGTTGATCGAAGCAACATCAAAAATATACTCCCAGCCCCAGACGATATATTTATTCAACGTCTAGGTCCTAGGAACATACATCTTCGAATGCTGCTCAATCTGTACAGCTTCCTGCAGAAACCCTCCTGGAAAAAGAATTAAAAAAATTGTTTATATCAGACTCAGCAAAATGTTAACAATTTGCTCGTTATTAAGGTTTAGGGAAAACAGATATCAGAAGTGAATTAAATAGATTTTTTTAGTTAAAGTTTAAACTGGCGTACTTAAAAGAATTATCGGACAAAACTCACCTGTCAATTTTCTACGTTCAATCTGACCTTTAATAAATAGTATAGTTGTTCCGTCTGAAAAAAAGGAATTTTCGATCAGATTAGATCGTTTTCCGAAGGCGAACGAGCTTTCACGTGAATCGGCACGAAGTTAATTTCGAAGGTCACTTAGTGGCCAAAAACGCACTTTAGAAACAAAACGTTTTAAACAAAAGTTTCACATTTTTCGGTGTAGAATCGAAATCCACATTAAAAAATATACTATATTATTTGAAAAAATTGATTTCCGGCCCGAGTATGCTACTTCCGGTCGGATGTAGCGCATGGGGTAAAAATTTATCTTTCAGGGGCCGTAGGTCCAAAACAAAGGACGTTCAAACTTTGTGCCCATTGACACTTTTGATTCACATTCAGAACTATCACAAAGCAAAGTTTAAAAAAAAATTAGCCGAAAGCCACTTTCCATAAGGATTCTGCGGGGTCCCTTGCGATAAATTCGCGACTGAATTGAATACAACTTTTCCGGGACCACCGTGTAGGCGCAGAACTAGTCAATAACCGGCCAATATGGGATTAGAGGTCTTCCCGGACTACTTTGAGCCGGTCAGACAATCACGCCGCTGGCATCCTTCCTCCTCAAAGTCCAATATTTCCGGTTTTTCGGGCGATCGCCGGCTTGCGTTCAGCTCGTAAAAGAGTTTTTATGGC